GGCATAAATGACAGGGTAGGTTGCCCTCTTTGTCCAAAGCACACCCTCCTTTCTGGCCTCTGCATGGAGGTAGGCGATGGTAGGGAACACAATTTGATATGTTATTTTAAGGTCTAATGTTGTGGCTTGAGGACAGCTCCAAGAAGCCATGCAGGCAAATGCTTAGGAGTTGTAGAGAGAAAGGAAAAGTAAAACAGTCAGATTTTACGCTGCTCTCAGTCAGGCACTTTCACACACTTCTGGGTGAACATTAGCATCCCTAATCTTCACCCCGAGAAAGTTCCAGATCAAAGCAGTCAGGGAAGTAGCTTGCTTCTATTCCTCACCTGAACTCCTGTGGGTACTTTTATTGCCTCGGGCTCAACTTCTCAGACTTGAATGTGTCTTGGAATCTTCCAGAGGGCTTGTTAGAACACAGTCTGTTAGAGTTGGCCTTCAGAATATCTGATTCCGCAGACCTGAGGTGGGGTCTAAGGAGGTGCGTTTCTAACAAATTCACACGTGATGAAAAGCCTGCTGGTTTAAGGCCACGCTCTGGGAACCACTGGCCAGTGGCAGCAGAAACTCAGCCCACTGGATATAAACTGCAGTGCACTTTGGAATACCTGAGGATTGTTTCAGAATAAACGTGGTGCCTAGTTAGCATCCCATGCAGTTTAATAGCTGATAGGGGCTGCGACTGGGCACCATTATGTTTGTTTGTTTTCCTTTCTTTTCTTTTTCAAGACAGGATTTCTCTGCATAACAGTTCAGGCTATCCTGAAACTCGCTTGGTAGACCAGGCTGGCCTAGCTCACTGAGATCTGCCTGCCGCTGCCTCTCAAGTACTGAGATTAAAGGGATGCACTGCTTCTGCCCGGCAGTACCATTGCTTTTAAAGGGTAAATTTGACATACAACAAAGTTTGGAAACCACTGGCATCGCCACATTCCCCTTTAATTTGTTCAGTCCAGCTGCTCATTACCGAGGCCACAGGTCATCTGCTCACAGCGCCTCATCTACCTTCCACTCCTTGTCTCAGAACACCTTTGCTCAGAACACCCAAGTCTCTTATTTGCCTCCTTTCCCACCGTTCCTTCATCTCTTTCCCCATTCAACCCAGACTGTGTGGTACAGTGGCTGCAGTTGTAGTCTGTGTGTGCATGGAACATCTTGAGGACCATCTTAATCAAACTAAAGGAAGAGCAACCCAGAGAACCTTCTAGAACTAATGCTTGGTCTTTGTTGCCATGAGTGAGAAGCTAATTTTTTTTAAAGATTTTTTTTATGTGTATCATCTTACCTAGTGAGAACATGCTACATAAGTAAGCTTATATATTGACATAATAATCATCACATAAACATACTTGCGGTTATTAAATATGTGTGTTGCAATTTTAAAACAAGGTCTCATACAGTATCCCAGGCTGGCCTGGAACTCACTTTGTAGTCCTTGTGTAGTCACAGTCCCCTTCCCTCCATCCCACCCCCAAGCTCCTGGGTGCTAAGATTATGAGCATGAGCTCCCACACTTGGTTTGTAATATTTTAATGGCAGCAAAAATTTTTGTCATGTGGATACCATGTTGTTTGTTTAACTGTCCCCATGCAGGAAGAAATGTGGCAGTGGGGTGACTTTTATAAATGAAGCTACAACGCATGTGCTTTCATGAACTACTTGGGTTCTATCCGTGATAGAAAGTAACAGGAGAAACAATGCCAAACCTTCAAACACATTCCAACAGGCATATTCTTTTCAAACCTTTTTCTCCTTGTCACCTCTCGGGTGTGAAGGCACACATACTGCATCTTCTTTGGCCAAGCCCTTGTTTGGTGTTTTGCTTTGTGCCGCTAAGGATTGTGGGCCTGGGGATGACATGGTGAGATGTGCATTTATAACCCTGAATGCTAGAGGTTGGAACTGATGTTCTTGCAGCACTAACCCTTGCTTCCACACTCTCCTCTCTCCATTTTCCCATGCCATGGCTTCCTTCTTTCCTAGAATGCAAATGTTAAGTGTTCAGTGTGCACACCTGTGTGCACAAAGCCTTGTCACCAAGGAATAGGAAGAGCAGGGCTAGAAGGCTCATAGGCTGCACAACCTTGTGCCTGGCCCAAAGATCTCCTTCTCTGGGTTTGGACAAGTTTCTGAATAATAAGAATAAATAATAAATAAAAAATAATAATAATAAATAATAAATCTCTCTAGGGAAAAATACTATAGACTGTAGTTCACCCAATTCTTTCTCTTCCTTAGACAAGATTCCTTCAGCAAGAGAATGCTCTATATTGCCAGTTCCTAACACAGTGCCTAGAACCTTGTTGCTGACTCCGTAGCAATTCTGTGACTGAGTGAATGAATCCTGCTTAACTAAGGTGCAGAGATGCTCTGTCTTAAACATTAGTGAGTGGAAGAGTATAAAGACAATATGATCATGACACAATCGCCAAACTCTGAATCATTGGTACCCAAGGTAAAGCAGACACCTGGTATACCAGATGTCCCGATCCTGGATTCTGTGTTCTAAACACAGAGCCTAAACATTCCCTGTTGTTTGTGCCTAGACATTGACTTACATTCTGTTCTCCTTCATTTTAGTACCAAACTTATTGTGTACATAAGCTTCTCTGTGGGAGAGGAAGGAAAGAGGGGTTAGGTGATGAAGAACTCTTTTTAAAGTGTAGCACAAAGAAAACTGAAACCATGGACTATTTATACTTATTATACAAAAGAAAGGTCTTGATGCTTAGTTACTTTAGGAAAGAAATGTAAAATAGATTTCTTTAAGACTTTCTCAGTAGGCATTCTAGGAAGTTGAAAGATATTAGGCAATAGCAGAGAGGGCACAGAGCAGCTAAGTCCTGCAGGCAGGTGTCAGGGTCATGGGTAGGGGTAGGGTGCCAGGCAAGAGTCACCTATTCGTATTCATTCATATACATATTCAAAAGTGAGAGGACAAAGGGATAACAAGCCCCTAGCCCCTTCCCCTGCATACCCTCTCCTCCAGCCCACATCTGTGCCAGCCCCTCCCCCACCTGCCCACTCCCGCTGGTGAGATCAGCCTTCATTACAGCTCTTCTGGAGCCAGGAAGCAAGGTAATGTGTGGGAAGCGATAGCTGCAAGGTAATGTGTGGGAAGTGATAACAACTTTAAAGCCATTCAACGGGAAAATTTGTTAAAAGACAGAGACATTGTAAAGCTGAAACACTTGAGAGTCTATTAAGTGCCCTGCTTCTTAGAACATTTTGTTACCAGGGTATGTTTCAAGGAGGGAAAACACTGAACCATTGAGCTCTGTCAGATACCAAAGCCTGTCACAAAGAGCAACATTTTCTAAGGTATCTGTTTCTGCCACTGTGCAGAAGAATGTCTAAAACATATGCCTTTATTTTCTTCTCTTCCCTTCTATCCCAGCACAACTCCTCTGCCCTCCTAGCCCCTATAAGTGCTCTATTACATTTCTCTCCTTCATCACCTGCATCCTCTTCTCTTGCTTCCTCCCTCCCTGCCTCCCCCACCTCCCATAGCCTGTGTTGTTTTCGCGGACACCATTAAACCAGCACAATAAGCTAAGACTCTGCAAGGATTATTCAACCCTCTCTGGTAAGGGAACTAATGAAGTGACTAGAGATTTAGACATTTATTGTTGATTAGCTCCAAACTCTTTCAGAGAGCCTGGAGCGTTCTCCTAAATAAACCTTCCCCTTTTATGGCTTCTTGTCCCAAGTCCAAATGAGAGGGAGAGCTTAAGGAGACAGTATCTTTTCCGTGATGTGAAGAAGGGGGAACGTAGGGAGGAGAGTGGGGTGTGGATGGATACAGAGGGGGAAGCGGCGTGCTCCTCACAGGTGGATTCAACTTGTGTGTCTCTTGACAGCTAACATCAATGATCAGACATTTAGACTTCAGTGTTAACTGTCAGTTCAGTGTTGTGGCCAGCGGCCTCCATTAGATAGACATCAAACAGTGGAGTCTTTTTAAGACAGCCATCTTCTAAACAAAAGAGTAAATATTTCTTCACTAATCTTAAACAGTGTGTCTTTGGAGGACAGAAGCCGTTTGATGAGCAAACAAAAGCCTTGGCACAGCTTTCTCGCCCGTGGCTATTAATGGAACAGTAGTAACTGGCCTCCATCTGAGAAAGCATACTCTTCCTCTGCTCTCTAAGGGGATAAACTGGTCTTTAAACTCTGCGTCTTAATTTTTGCTTCAGCTCTAACTGCACAAGCAGTTGCCTTTTAGAGTGAGTATTAGGCCCAGCATCCAACATCACCCCTGCCATCATTCTCACAGTGGAAAATGGAGGCAAAAATCCCAGCAAACTGGATCACTCCTCCCAGGCTGGGAATTGGAAGCCGTTACCACCATTGCAGGGCATTGGTACTGTGATATGGAGCCTGGAGTTCATGTTTTTCTACCTCCTTTTCCACTGTGAGCCACAATGGTCTGATGCAGGTGGAATATTCTTCTCCTTTGCTTGACTTAGGCATGGGCTATGCTGGAAAAGTCCCTTGAGCTTCCTGCGGATGTCCACAGAGGATGGCTCACCAGCAGCTAAGCATAGGCCAACTTTGAAGCTAATTAACCATCAGTCATTGTTAGCAGAGCCAACGTGTTTCTCTGACATTAAGAATAGTTAGAGACTCTTCGAACATTCCTTCTTTTTGTAGACCCAAACCAATTTGTCTCTACAAGCTAGGCTGGTGTAGTTCAGAAACAGCTGGTTTGTTGCTCTATATTTGAAGAGACTGCTTGATGTCAGCCTACTCACTGGATACATATTAATCTTCAAAATCAATGCTTTTAAAAAAAACTATAACTTGGCTTTAACTTTCTGCTCCCTCAAAAAAGGGACATCTATTTCTTTTTTGAGAAAAATGTCTGACTCGGTATATGAAAGCTCTCTTGAGTGGGAAATGACAGCTAGACCTGGGCTGGGCATCAAGGGACCAGAGCTTCTGGACAGACTATCCTGAGTGAGAGGGAAGAGTGTCCATGGTCTTTGCTGTTTACTCTGCAGACCTCAGCGACCAGCTCCTTGAAGTTGTGGGTCTAGAGGGAGCCATGGAAATGGGACAGATCTATACTGGCTTGAAGAGTGCGGGCAGGAGGCTGGCCCAGTGCTCCTCTGTCATCATTAGGTAAGTTCCCTTGTTACCCAGCATCGTCTGGGTCTCCCTACCCCCTTGAACATTCAGGAAAATAATAGAAAGACTGGGGAGCAACCTTCAGACTTCAGGCTATAGCAAATTGGCGAAAAAAGCTTAGCAGTATTTATAAAGAATACTTTGACTGTATTCTTTAATTGTTGGTATAATATATATATATATATATAATACATATATATTTCAACTATCTGCTCAGGCCATATGGTCATTTGTATGTATATCATTTCAGGGATGACCATTTGGTATTGGATAACCAATAGGTGTGCCCTTCCCTTCTCCTGCTGTTAGCATTCCTTGGTTGCCTGTAGTTCTTGGTGTAGTGTTGATGCCCCATGGGTTTCCCCCTACCTCTCCCCACCCCCACCCATGATAGCGTGTCTGTTGGTGCCACCCTTGTTCTAGTCTTGTTTGGGCAGCCATGTTGGTGACATTTCATCGGCGTAGTGTCTTTATCATATCCAAGAGACATGATCTCAACAGCAAACCCCCTGTCCCTCTGGCTCCTGCTTGGACCCCTGAATGTCAGGTGGAGGAGTTGTGTCAGGCCAGATTTAATGCCGTCATCAACTAGAGGAGCCACGATAGCCTATCCTCTTAAAATTACCTGGTGACATAAACAGGACACATATAAGGTCCAGAGCTCCAATTCTTTGGTCGTTTTCTCTTTAAAATTGTAAAACATTAGAATAATGCCAGGGCTCACGGCTGTTCTGTGTGCGGGATGTCTTCTTATGCTAACCGATTAACGTCAATGAACTTCTTGTATTGACCAAGAGGGTAGCAGGTTTTTTTGGGACATGGATGACATACATAGCCAGCCTGCCTGGATGCTCTGGCATCTGATAGGAGTTCGTCCAATTTCAGTTTTCCTTAGTTAGACTTCTTATCCAACCTGGCTGTTTCAGACTTCTTCATTCCTTTCCTTTTTCTCTCTTGCTACAGATCCTATCTGTTGGTTTGCCTTGGGGATCTCCTAGAAGGGCTGTGGGGTAAAGAATTTCCCAGAGGCACTTGCATTAAAGAGCCCTTTCTTCCAGAAGCACTTGGGCAAGTGTCAGCGAGAGCACAGTTGAGGAATCTGTTCTTGGCCCTTCCATCTTCCCTCAGCCGGAGCCCTTCTGTGGTCCCCGAGGGTCTGTTCCCCTACCCCTTTGTCATTTCCTATCTCTGTACCATCTGTGTCATCATGCCCCCTGTCTTTTGGAGTCATCGCTATGATAGGACGTTTGCTTCCCAGACCAACCTGGACAGCCCTTGCCCAGAGCCCTCATATCTATGGGCTTAGGTTTTCTGTAGAATATTACAGCCATGGCCTTGGTAGATTACAGAGAACACAGTGTCCTGACTGCCAAGAAGAAATCCAAGAAGTTAAGTATGACAAAGGCTTTTTCCAGCAGTAAACAGATCTATTTCCAGATGGAAACAGAGGAGTAGCTAAAAGCTCCATCCTGCTAGGCCCTTCTCCGATACTTCTCTATCCCCAAGTATTCAAAGACCTCCTTTCTGCTAATATGTTGTTTTCATTATTAGATGTATTGCTTTTATTATGAAATATACTCAGAGTCCCCAAGAGAATTACTGAATCAAAAGAGTGCTTTCCCCTCCCATTTTGTAATTTCAAAAATAGGGAAGCTACCAAGCTCAGGTAAGAGCTTCCGGTCCAATGGGTGGTGACTGTTCACATGGAGGACTACCTTCCTCCCAAGGCATTGGAGGACACATTAGAGTCTACAGAACCCATATGCCAAAGAGAAAAGCCTTTCCCAAGCAAGAGGGCAACACATTCTCTTCACCTCTCCTCCTACACCTTGGGTCACTATTCCTAGATGTTCCTGTCCCAGCACAGTCACGGTGTATATGAATCCAGAGTACCCTGCCTGCCTAGTGCGGTTGAATGCATACGGGGATAACCTCTGTAGCTTAGAGACGTTACCTCTTGGATAGGCTGCAACCACTCATTCTGACAGGCGTGCAGGCCTCTTCCTACTCCAGGGCAGAGCCTGGCATGATCCACTTTCCCCTCTGCCTGTTTCTGGACTGCTCAGCAGTGGGGCCACCATGTTTGCTGGCCAGTTTTCCAGGGGCTGTGGCTTTTGATACGCCCATGAGTTTCTCGAAGTGGAGTCTGAAGACAGACGCTAGAGAAATCCCTATAGTAACTGTTAGAACACAGATCTGTAGGCCTGTTCCAGACCTGCCAAGGCCAGTCCCTGAGATGCGCGGAAGATTATAATTTCAGAAAGTTCCCCTGGTCTCAATGAACCTTTCCTAAGTGAGCACGAGCGGGCTTCATGCTTCTCTCTCTGCGGGGGGAGCAATGATGATTCTCCAGCTCTGAGAGACTCACTGTTGTTTCTTTGGTTTGGGGGTTCCAGGACTAACAAGCTTCTGCCGATGCAAGTAGATGGAGAACCCTGGATGCAGCCGCGTTGCACAGTAAGTTTGCCAGTGTTGGAGGTGAGCATGAGAGGCATGCTTTTGTCTTACCCCTTGAAGACACTGACTTGGTATAAAATCACTGCATCTCAGTGTAAGCGGGACCCTGGAAGGCTGTCGGGAATAGCCCCTTTCCAACTTTGCTCTGAGACTTTGTCCGTGTTGCCTCAGCTTGAACCTACCCAAGTGGCGGGGTCAAAAGAAAGACTGTTCTGCTGAGGAGTGAGTCTGGATGTTAGAGAATGCTTCCTTATCTGGAAGCCACGCCTACGTGCCCCAGATCCTACCCAGTACATAGACATGCTTCCCTTGGTGCATCCGCAGTCCTGAGGACCTCCCTGGAAATGCCACAGAGAGGTTTGTTTGGTTATCTGCTTTAGTATGGCACAGAGCACTCAATGTGGTGCCAGACTTGTAATCACAGCTCTAGAATGCCATCAGCAAATGAATAAAGAGCGTGAAACAGGGAAGGTATAGTTGCACAAGCTGAGGCAGGAGGATATGTGAGTTCAAGGCAACCTGAGCTACAGATTATGTTCAAGACTAACCAGGGTTACATAGAGAGACCCTGTCCCAAACAAATGGGCACTGGAGAGATAGAGAACACAGCGGTTAAGAGCTGTTCTTGCACAGAACCCAGGTTCAGTTCCCAGCACCCACGTCAGCTAGCTCTCAACTCCCTCTAACTCCAGTTCCAGGGAGTTGTGGAATAATTTATATATTTATTATGTATACAATATTCTGTCCGTATGTGTGTCTGCAGGCCAGAAGAGGGCACCAGACCTCATTATAGATGGTTGTGAGCCACCATGTGGTTGCTGGGAATTGAACTCAGGAACTTTGGAAGAACAGACAATGCTCTTAACTGCTGAGCCATCTCTCCAGCCCCTGGAATAATCTTTTGTGTACACTGTGAGCATGTGTCATTCTGATTGGTTTAATAAAAATCTAAACAGCCAAAAGCTGGGCAGGATTTCTAGGCAGAGAGGATTCTGGGAAGAAGAAAGCAGAGTCTCCAGTAAATGCAGAGGAAACAGACATGGAGGAGGAGAGGTAAAAGCCACGAGTCACATGGTAACACGTACATGACTAGAAATGGGTTAAGTTATAGGAGCTATTCAAAGCAAGCTTACACTATTGACCGAGATTTCATAATTAATAATAAGCCTCCATGTCATTATTGGGGAGCCAACGGTCCTGCCAAAAAAGTGGTTACACCAGGAGGATCTGACAGCCTTTGGCCTCCATAGGCACCCACAGGCATGTGGTGCACATGGACTCATGCAGGCACGTGCATACACGTGAACAGAAATATAAAATAAATAGAACCCCTTTTCTTGTCCAACTATTGCTACTTTAGATCCAGCCAGGGCCGCTATGAGAGTTAAGTTTCCTCACTTCTTATTGTTCCCCCTTAAGAGCCCAGCTAGGAACTCCATAGTAAAGAAAAAGCCTTGTCCTGATTTCAGCACATCCACCAAGGTCCTTCATGAGTTATGTCCTCAGTATGACAGCCGATATGTCATCTCAAAAGAGACAGACATCGTCTTTCTGAGCATCTCCTACTCATCCCTGATAGTGTTCTCTTTGGAGCCCTCCAAGTATCAAGTTCTCTTTTGCGGTTTTTTAAATGCCTGACATGACATCTTCTATAAAGGTCAAAGGTAGAAATTTATCTGCAAATTCTTATCAAAACCTTATGGAAGGGTAAAAATGAATATATAAAACACAGTGTAATAAAAACTAGTAAGGGGAGCTGGTGATATGGCTAAGTAGATAAAGGCAATTTTTGCCAATAAAAAGAGAGAACCAACTTCAGAAAGCAACATGCCATGGGTACCCATACACGAAACTGTCTTTCCTCTCTCTGTCTGTCTCTCTGTCTCTCTCTCAGAAAGCAAAATGCTGTGGGCATCCCCCGACAAAACTCTGTCCTATCTCTCTCAGGTATAATAAAAATTTTTAAAAACACCAACAATAGTATTCTGTGTTGCTGGCATTAGGCAGGATGGAGGGAATCTTTGTTGCTCGTTATTACTTACTGGGCTGAGGAAATTTTTCTAGTCTTCTCCTGTGTTGAAAAAACCAGTGACTGGGACATTGCGGCAATGTCAGCATTCATAAGCCACAGCTCTCACAGAGGACTCTCGTTCGGGCCCCACCCATGTCAGATGGCTCAGCACGGTCTATAACTCCAACTTTAGGGGACTCAACAGCTTCCTTGGGCACCTACAATCGTGTGTGCGCACACACACATGCGCGCGCACACACACACACACACACACACACACACACACACACCAAATAATTAAGTCATTTTTAAAAATGGCTGGAAGAAATCAAAGGTTTTTTCCCAGGTGACTCAGTGATATCCAAAGACAGAAGCTGCCATTCATTTAAATTCAAACACTGATTTTTTTTTAATTGGCAAATCCTTCCCACATCCTCACCAGACCCTCCCCGCAATGTTACCCTTTAGAAAATACAACTCGCTGTGAAAAGTCCTGTGCAGTCGGAAAACTCTGCTCAGTGATAAAGAAGTAGTAGCCTGGATATAACAGTGAATGAGAGACTGGCAAGCTGGGAGGTGATGTTTTGGGTTGGTTGGGTTTCCCTCTGAGTACTGTGCTCAAGGGCCTTGGACATGCAGGGTTAGCGCCCTGGCACTGAGCTATACCCAGCAGGACAAGCGCCCTACCGTTGAGCTACGCCAGCCTTTGGGGTTTTTCTTTCTTTCTTTTTGTTTTGCTTTTTTTTTTTTTTTTGATAAGGTCTTGCTGTGTGTATAGTTCAGGTTGATCATGAACTCATAGTCTCGCTTCTGCCTCTACTTGTTGGGGTTCTAGGCTTGGCTGTCAACAAAAATGTGCCAGTCCACACTGGTGGTTTAAGAACTGAAGTATATTTTCCGGTCCTTTTAGGGGCTGGAACTTAAAGTCAAAGTCTTAGCAAGGCTGATTTCTGGTGGGGTCTGAATTCACCAAACCAGTGTCCTTCTAGAAGGAGGAAGAGACAGAAAAGCACACATGTCTGGAGGAACCGGCTTCAAAGGATGCAACAGAGAGGCAGTCGGCTGCAAGTTAGATGTTTCATAAAAGATCTCTGTGAGTTTGAGGCCAGCCTGGTCTACAAGAGCTAGTTCCAGGACAGGAATCAAAAAGCTACAGAGAAACCCTGTCTCGAAAATAAAAAAAAAAATACACCTAAAACAAAAGAATATATGATATATTATATATACTGAAGGCAGATTTTTTCTGTCCCTCCAGCCAGCTCCCAAATAACCACATGGAGACTTCTTATTAATTATAAGTTTCTGACTAGCTCTTATAACTTAAATTAACCCATTCTTATTTATGTGCTCTTCCATGGCTCATGGCTTGTTACTTCTCCTCCTGCACATCCTGCTTCCTTCCTCTGTGTCTCATGGCATTTTCTCGTGACTCTGCCCTTTATCCCATCATCCTCTCTGCCCCCAAAATCTTACCTAACTATTGGCCATTCAGTTTTGGATTAGACCAATACAAATGACAAATCTTCACAGTGTACAAAAGATTATTCCACAACAATATATGCTACATATAATATTATATACAGAAGCTAAATGCTATCCTTTACCAAGCATAAGAAAGCAAATAAAAAATAATGATGAAAGGCAAAGTAAATAACTTTAAACACAGTAAAATCTAGGCCTGTTTTTTTCAACAAGGCAAGTGTTTGAAAGTCTCATTTTAAAAGAGAAAAAAGTTGGTATCAGGAATATTAAAATGTAAAAATAGCAATTGTACTATAAAGCCTTAATATATATGGGAAATGGCACTATTAATTATAAAATAGTATGTAATTTTGTTTTTGTTTTTTGGGTTTTTTTAAGATTTATTTATATTTATTATGTATACAACATTCCTTCCACGTCTGCTTTCATACCAGAAGAGGCACCATATCTCATTTTAGATGGCTGTAAGGCACTATGTGGTTGCTGGGAATTGAACTCAGGACCACTGGAAGAGCAGTCATTGCTCTTAACCTCTGAGCCATCTCTCCAGCCCTAGTATGTAATTTTGATTCTAATAAACTTGAACAAAAAAATGAAGGAATCCAGCCATTAATGAAACAGAAAATGCTTTCAAAGACTCATATGCAAAGTGACCTCAAAACAGATGAACTTAGCAGGGAGGGGGATCATGAGGCCCTGAGGATCTATATAGAGGTAATGGTGCCAGTGCAAGGCAGGGCATTTTCTTCCGTGGTATAGTCAGTGGTAAGTTATCTGTGCTCCTTCCGTGGTATAGTCAGTGGTAAGTTATCTGTGCTCCTTCGTGGTATAGTGAGTGGTAAGTTATCTGTGCTCCTTCGTGGTATAGTCAGTGGTAAGTTATCTGTGCTCCTTCCGTGGTATAGTCAGTGGTAAGTTATCTGTGCTCCCGTAACGCTCTGGTAAGGAGTCCTAATGAGAAGTGATGTCCAGCGAAACAAAAGGCACAGAAGTAGAAAGGAAGGCAGTTAGAAGAAGATCAGTAGAACTGGGAGAGGACAAGCGGCGGTCATAGGGTGACTATAAGGAAAGTATATTAGGAAAGTAATACAGGGTGAAAGTATGTTACACACATTCTGGAAATGTCACTCTGATGGGCTGGGGACAGGGGTCAGTCAGCAGAGTGCCTGCCACACAGCATCAGGACCTGAGTTTGAATCCTTGACACCCATGTAAGAGCCTGGCATTGTCAGGCATGTCTGTAGCTCTGATGCAGAGGAATCAGAGACAAGAGGAACCCTGGAACTCTCTGCCAGCCCCAGGCAGTCAACCAGGAAGCTATGGAGGCAGGAACAGACTCTGTCTCAATCAGATAAGAGTGATACAAAATACCTGATATCAACATTGGGCCTCCATAGGCATGAGAACACACATGCATGCACACTACAAACATATGTGCACACATGTGCATTTATCTCACAATACTCATGTACTCCACATACACAGAAGAACTGAAGTGACTGAAAAA